GCTTCCTCATAGTCCATTTCCTCTGATTTGCTGGAGATGGAAAGTCTCATAAGGTTTTCAAGTGTGGAAATTTTCAGGGAGTTTCTCACATCGGTCTTGATTAGGTTCTGCCGGCTGAAACCTCGTTCACAGTTTGCAGTGCTGACAGGAGCAGTGAGCAGGCGTTCAGCAGCAGCTGCCACGATGGGAAACATTGCCCTAGCCCTAAATGCTACCTGACAAATATCTAAGCTGCTAGACCCTACCCTAGAATTTGAGTCTACCTTAGCCCTGCAGAACTCTACAAAACTCCCTAACTCATCCTTACAATCTCTGACCTTGGCTACCTTACATACTGAAAGATGGTTTGCTATGATATCTATGTCCTCAGAAGGAGGAGTCCTATCAACAACTGTCTGAGGATCAAAAAACCTACTCAAAGCTGACAAAACCAAAGCATCACCCCTATCAGTAAACCTAGACTGCAAACTAGCCTTAACACCCTCTATAAAAGTGCTACATGCCCTAACTGCCTCTGACCTTTGTCCTAGACTATCCCTTACTATGTGACCTTGAAACTCAAATGTGTAAAGACCTGATTCATCAAGAGTTGGCTCAGATGGAGCATGCTGCAGAAAGGCAGACAAGTTACCACCAGGGTTGCCAATCAAATTGTCCAAGACCTTGACAGTTGAATGCAGAAGGCAATTGACCTCAGTAAAATCTAGATCTGACCTTTGATATGACCTTGACAACACAGCTAATGGCTTCAAAGCGTCAGCTAAGAAGTGTGCAACATACAGAAACTTGTAACAAGAAATGGGCTTGTGGAGAGCTAATGCCTTAGCAGAACTTTCCTCTAACATGACTGCAACTACACTCTGATAATTGTCTACTACTGCCTGAACACTACCCTCAAAACTTAACCACCTAGTGTGGGAAACTTGCTTGAGCCTAGTGCCCCTGCTACAATCTAAGATTCCTTGAACCTTCTCTAACCTAGCCATGTTCTTAGGAGATCTCTCAAAATACTTATACAAATCATTCAGAACTGCCTGAAACTTAACTAAGTAAGTGACCTTATCAGCTGCCTCCCCACATGCAAGTGCTAACCTATGTGCTATACAATGGGTTGCTAAGATACCTGGATACATTTCTCTAAGCCTAGTAACTACTCCACTCTTACACCCTACCATCACAGAAGCCCCATCTGTTGAAACACCAGCTAACCTATCCAAGTCTAATCCCTTATCCTTAAGCAAACCTATCAACTCTGAAGAAATTGCCTCTGCATTTGCGACTGACAACTGCCTAATGCCTAGAAAGTCTACAGATGGAACTACCCTACTACCTATCTGTTCTAAAAACCTAACATAGACTATGAGATTCTGGTGAACTGGGACATCTGTAGACTCGTCTAACATTACACTGAATACAGAGCTACCCCTAACCCTATCTACGAGCCTATCAAGAATCACATCGGACAACGACTGCTGAAACTCCTGAACACTGCTATTACTCTCATATGTTGTATGGGAATCAACATTGAGATCTTTAAGCTGAGAACTGCCCTAAAAATAATAAACAAAAAATTAGTTTTTTTAATTTAAGTAGACCTTAAATAGATTTTAATTGAAGATTCAGATTGATACAAATTTAATTTTAATTTTTGAAAGAAAATGATGATGGAATTAATTACTACCTGGGATATGCATAGATTGTTTAGTCTGGGAACCATGGAATTGGGCAGGTCATTAGATGCAGCAAAGTAGGTGTTTCGAAGGGCAGATATAATTGCAGATTTACTCTTGGAGAGGGCATTTTGTCTGACAGTTTCCATGTTTTCAGCAGATTTGGACTTTTGTAGAGCTGCAGAGTGACTATTGTCACCTAATTAATAGAAAAGAAAAAAATTTAGTATTTTACGTAGAATAAGGTTTATTGTGTTGTTTTTTTTAAATTATTTATTTATCCTTTGATTCTAAATTATATATGTAGAATATAGAAAAAAAATCTTTTAAAAAATTGTTGGTAAATTATATATGTAGAATTTTAAAAAATCTTTATATTTAAAAATTGCAATTTATTTTACTATTAAAAGATAAGCACCTGTTCCCTTCTCATGCTTGACTACGTTTTCTTTCTTCATAATGCTTGTACCCTCAGTAAAAACATTTCGTACATTGGCCGAAATACAGATGTCACAAAACATCATGCCCAATTTGGAATCATATCTTAACCAGTCCCTATTAAATTTCCAACTGACGTTAAATTTACGTTTTGGTGTAGAAGGTTTTGGACTTGGGACTGTTGGCGAAGTTTGAGAAGCTGGGGTTGAATGATCAGACCCCGAATTGGAAGTAAAGCCAAACATGGACAATTTCTGAATTTTAGACTGACTGGAGTCAGAATCTAAAAGTTTGCGTTTCCCCATTTTGACAAGCCAAATGCCAAAAAATAATGGGGTATCGAGTAGAATTGGCATGGCGTTTTTATACTGGTACGTACTAAACTTCAAAGAAAATTATTAATGTAAATTGCTATGTACATATCAATAGCCACCGACTTATTGTTTATAAAATATTCGCCGCATCTTCAAAAAGTAAAGACAAACACATCTCAATTAAAATATTTTTATCAACAAGCTTGGACGTAAATAAACAGCACATCAACATAATCGATGCCTATGCAGTAATCAGGATAATCCGGCAAATTTAATGAGCCACGCTACCACAGGGTCTAAGATTTGAACTTGACACTAATTTGAAGACGATAATCATAATGGGTGAGAATTTGATTGCCAATTAATTGACCACAGCTTCCAATCAATATACAACACTCGGTAATTGCCCGGGGTTATTCATGCTATTCACTGTATACAAAGTGCTAATCGAAAATCTACTTGATTTGGATCACTCGCTATATTGCTTTGGGTACTCTGATGCATTGTGGGTAAAAAAGAAACATTTACAGGCAAAATATGGGTAAAAGTAATTTTAAGAAATTAGGAAACCTCTTAAACCTTTATAGAATCAATGTAAATTTATTTGAGAAAAATTTTAGGTGGAAACATGTTAGAAATTCAATACCGTTCTCATTTACTAAGTTAATATGGGATTTTCGCTCATTTTGAATCATTTCAATTGTTCTTAATTTTTTCAAACTATAATCTGTTGTTAAAGTTATTGTATATAAGTTTTCGCCTCAATTCACTCACGAAACATTATCTGATTTCTATAAATTACTCTTTTTAGAGAGATTGAGCTATTCTTGTTTTGAGTGAATGCTATTATATGTTTGCAGCATATTTTTGCGATGGCTACACTTTTTTCGGGTCCTTTTTGTGATTTGCATGAAATTAAGATTTATTGTTTTTTGATAAAATTATCGCGATTTAAACAGCTTTGAAAAAGATATTGGCATTCATAATCACTAGAGAAACATTTATTAGTCGAAAGGAGTTAAGCAGAATTAAATAATTATAGAATTTGATGAAATGTGCTATCATTGCTGGTGTTTGTGCGATACTTGATTTGCGTTTTGTCGCGATTGATACAGAAAAGCTATGTTTGATTTGCCCGGAATACTTCTTGAAGAACGGAGGCGTACATAGGAGGTATAATCCAAAGACACTTTCTCAAGTTTATGTCATTAAATAATTCATTGATAAATACACGTTATATACTTTCACTTAAATGTTTTAAAGGTACGTAAAACGGAAAAAAGGGCTTCACAAACTATTCGAACTCTCGATAACCACTATATGCTACGGTGTCTTCTTGAAGTTGTGTGTCAGTTTGCTTTAAATAAACGAATTCGTTGAGACAAACAATTTTTTCCCACCTATCATTTAATTCATCTTGGGACGTTTTTTTGGCTTTCTTCCTTCACTAAACTGTTATATCTTTGTTTTTATACTAAATTTGATTACGAAAAATGCAACGTTTACTAGTACATGTATACTTGATCCATACATAGGGCTCACAGCGAGTGTGACCGATCAACAAGGGATGCTTACTCCTCCTAGGCACCTGTTCCCATCTCTGGTGTTGCGGGGGGTTGGGGGGTTTCTGTTATTATGCCCTGCTCACATATTTGTATTGTTTCTAAATTTTTCGACATAAATCAATGCTCATTATCCTCACTTTCTCATAAATTTTAGAAATATTCTACTTTTAAATAGAATGGGTTCTGACTCCATTTAGAAAAAACACACAATGCGTTTACTTTTCCGTAATTTAAACATACGAATTAGAATAGAAACCTGATCCATTCATATTCAAAAATAAATTCTTATGGCTAGAATCGTTTTTATAAATGTACCCATTTTCCACTAAATAAGCTTAAAAACAATTTTTAGTCAATATGTCTTTCAGTACAATATATGAATCAAATATGTTGGAGATGACATTACCGACAACATAATTTAAAAAAAACAAAAACTTTTCCGTCATAGAGCGGGTGATTGTCCTCGCCTTTTACACTTTTTCTCTCTCTTTTATAAATCTATGATAAAGAGATTATAATGCAATTTTTTAAAAAAAATTCACCTATTTTCACACTACCATCAGACATCAGAACTTAAAAACTTAGAATCTGAAACAGAATCTATGAAGATAAAAGTTTAATTAAAATTTGGCATTATATCCCCATAGACAGATGAAGAAAAGCGGATATAGGTCAGGGGATGAAGACCTGATCAGTTTTTCAAATTCACTAAAATTTAAGAATATTAATGTAACCATATCAAAATAACTTTGCCCCCCCCCCCCCCCCAAGAAACACAAACTCTTAACAGTCGTCTACGATAAAAGAATATAGTAACGGAAGTTATTTGATTTTCAGGGATATGCTATGATTTCTATGAAAAAAAAAATCCATGCATTTCTTCGAGAAATGTGGTAACCGTTTGTTTTCTTTTTATTACATGAAAACATTCTTAATATTCCATGCAATCTCTTCTTAACGCTTATTTGGCTGAATTGAAATTTGTAAATGAATGTAGCGGCATTAAGATATGAGGTTGAATGCGTTTTAATCATTATATTTTCATATAAAAACTGAATGCACATATATACCACTAAATACATGTATTTACAAAACCATGTGTATAGGTAAAGTCTATAAGAGTTGAAATCGATCTTTAAAATTGTCTAAAATTTTACAATAGTAAATTGGTGAGCGACATTAAAATCCCTAATTTGGTATGTTTTTGTTGATGAATGACAGTCATAAGTTGATAGAAAAAATAGAAAAGTTGATAGAAAAAAATGAGAATATATATGGAAGAATGTAGCCTGTCCACCAATTAAGCTGACCCCCTCCCCAACCATAAAGTAGGGTTTTTGTGTTGGGATCTTTTAATGTTAACTGTTATGGACAACAGTGTAACCCTCTCTCCTTTCACACTCACTGACTGAGCATAAAACGCTCAAGGTGAGCATATGAACATGGATCTCCTATGGACTGGGCCAATGTTGAGGAGTCTGGGGAAGAAAATGTTGTACAATACTGTTGTAAACACAAATTACTGTCAATAAATTATTTTACTAATTGCACTAGGCCTAAATGTTATATGTATACTCAAAAAAAGTATAGCTGTCATGACAACAAAGATAGCTTTCTGTATATTTTCTACGCAAACCTAAAATAGCCCTGGAACAGTTGGGTGGGTGCATATTTGATGTAATTTTCAAGATATAAAAAAGACCTTGTGGTCAAATTTGATAGCTTACGTTTGATAAACATTCATATTAAACATTAGAATAAATGTTTTATTGAAATAATGTAAGAAGTCCATTCCAGTGGATGATTAGTCGAAAAATGACCATCAGATGCGTGAAAAACGCGTGCTACCGATGTTTAAGGAGGGGTATATAACACAAAAACATGATAATCTTTAAATATACCAAGAAGAAGTCTCCTATTGGTTGAAGTAGTTTTATTATTAGTAAGAAAACGAACATAAAAGACATTTTTTGTCTAAATCTGCAGACAGAATCTTCGAATGATCCAAACAAATATAGCTAGTGATCCAAATCAAGTAGATTTTCGATTAGCACTTTGTATACAGTGCTATTGTCTCTCCTAGTTTACCTGTACACAGTGTGTTCATTGAAGCGACGAGAAATTTCCGGTCGCACGTGTCATGACTGTGAAAACAGTCTGGCTGAATAAACAAACAGCCTCAGGTAAAAAATGAAAACACAAGACACATTTTACATACATTTTATTGCAAAAAATCATTTTCGCCACTTCTCAATTTTTTTTCGCCACTTCTGAAAAAAATTCGCAATTGGCGCAAATGGCGAATCGCAGCTCGAGCGCTGATTTTATTTCTTACTCCTGCAGATATAAGGAAAAAGTTTAAAGTAGTTAAAAAAGAAACTGTCCATAAATAATGTACAAGACTTAAAAATTATATACCTGCTTGGGTTTGTTGTTTCAAAATACTGTAAAATCACTTATTTTCGTGGGGTCAAATTTTCGAGGTTTGAGAAAGAAATATTGGTTTGTGGGAATTTGATTCTAGGTTGGAGAAGTGTTGAGTAATAATGCATAAAAAATTTTACATTTCAAGATGGTCATGAATTCGAGAGTCTCTCCATACCTCGAAAACAAGGAAAATTAGGTTAATTAACCCCCATGAAAATTTGTGATTTTACAGTAGTGATTGATAATTGATTGAAAGCTTTGGTTGTTGATGCGTGGGAGGTGTCTAGTTTGTCCTATATATTTACAGACATCTGGCGGGACAGGTAGCTCATGAGTGGCAGGATACAGAGGAATCTAACACAGAGATGAGAGACAGACTCCTGAAGATGACCAAGGAGATCGTCCCCTACCACATGGACCACAACGCTGAGGCTGAGGCCTGCGATCTGTTGATGGAGATAGAGAAGCTGGACATGTTAAAGAATTACGTGGACGAAAATGCTTATCCAAGAGTCTGTCTGTATCTTACAAGGTAAAAATGTCAACAAAAATGCTTATCTCTTTGTGTGTCTTTAGATTACAAGGTAAAAAAAAAAAGAATTTTATTGTACCGACTGTAAGAGAGTAATCTGCAATGAAACAGACTGTCTTACATATGTATGTAAAACCTTCAGATTTGATCTGCTAGTGTAAAGTTATTAAATATTTTTATATATTTTCAGTTGTGTACCCTATGTACCAGATCCAGAGAACACAACTTTGATGAAGACAGCAGTAGAATTATACAGAAAATTTGATCAGTATCCACAAGCTCTCCGTTTTGCCATGCAGTTAAATGACATGGCACTCATTGAAGAAATCTTCCTATCCTGTAAAGACTTGTAAGTATGATGTATTTCATCGAGTTTTTAACTTGGAGTAGACCACTGCTGACTTGAATAGGCATTCATGCTATAAAGTACATTCATACAACTGTAAAAGCTGTAATAAAATTTCAAAAAAAAATCCACATGCATCTGCCAGTGTGAGCATCCACTCTTTCTGACAAACTTTGCTTCACTTTGCAGGTTAATGCAGAAACAGTTGGCTTACATGTTGGGACGTCAGCAGATCTTCCTGGAACTTAGTGATGACGTAGAGGAATATGATGAACTAACAGAAATAATGTCTAATGCCAATCTCAACAACAACTTCATGGCACTAGCCAGGGAGGTAAAGTCAAATATTGATAATGTGTAACAATGAGTTAGTGTTACTGTTGAGGCAGATTTGGCCAATAAATATTAATTATTTCCTTTCAGTTGGATATTATGGAACCCAAAATACCTGAGGATATATATAAATCTCATTTAGAACAAACTAGTAAGTATTATATTCTCACAAATTCATTTGAGGTAACTTTTAGTGAAGTTTTAAAATAGATTTAAGTATCATTAGAAAAAAAAAGAATGCATTTACAAGTTTGAATTGGATGTTCAAATATTGTGTTTTCTAAATGTTTACAATGTTATGCAGTAAAAAGATAAATACTTTATATTGCGATAAATTATTATTTTAGGGAGTACCCTAGGACCCTCAAGTGTGGACTCTGCACGGCAGAACTTAGCTGCTTCATTTGTTAATGGATTTGTAAATGCTGGCTTTGGCCAGGATAAAATATTAAAAGAAGATGGAAACAAATGGTTACATAAAAACAAAGATCATGGTAAACATTTTCTCATTTTGCTTACATAAGTGTCAAAGCAGAAATCAAACCCCCGTGTAATTATCTTATCTCATATAACTATACAAAATTGTTAAGTGGTTAATAATTTATTAAACTTTTAAAAATTATCATTTTCATTATAGCCATCTTTTAATTAAGAGGTTTGTTCCTGGACTTGATTGACTTTGACATTACATGTGTATAACTATTGTTCTAGTTCCTCAGATTGTTGACACCCGTAAATAATATTTATTTATTTGATCTTTTTAGGTATGTTAAGTGCTACGGCCTCTCTGGGTTTGGTGCTCCTGTGGGATGTGGACAGTGGACTTACACAGATAGATAAATATTTATACTCTTCAGAAGACTTTATAAAGGTAGGTCCTTGGACCTTCCCAATTAAGGCATCAATGATTGAAATCTCCAATATGATTAACAATTTCTGAAGTATTGAATAGAAATTAAGCTCCATGTATTATTTAATTGTAGGCTGGTGCATTGTTAGCCTGTGGTATTGTGAATTCGGGGGTGAGGAACGAGTGTGACCCAGCCCTAGCTTTACTGTCAGATTATGTCACACATAATACAAGTATAATGAAGATAGGAGCTATTGTAGGGTAAGCAGACAGGTTTTGATATTTATTAAACTGATACAAATAGATCAAGATAATTATGAAATGTTGGGAAATTCTGTAAGCCTGTTATAGCCTTTATGAAATGTCTTTCTTATTTCTAAAAGTAGTAATCATTATTGCATAAATTTTACAGACTTGGACTAGCATATGCTGGGTCCAACAGAGAGGATGTGTTGGCCTTAATACTGCCAGTGCTGGGTGATAGCAAAGCCAACATGGAGGTGTGTCATCAATTTCAAAAACAAAAACTTGATATGTACAGCAAATCTTCTTTAATACGAACATGGATATTGCGAATTTATGGATATAGCGAAGTTATCTTGGTTCCCCAGCTTTATAAATTTAACTAATTCCTTGAATCCTTATATGGATATAACGAATTACGGATATTGCGAAGTAATTTCATAGGTCCCAGTGACTTTGTTATAATCAAGTTTTACTGTATTATCTTCAAAACTGCATGTTACATACTGTGAATATAGATAAGATAAGATAAGATAATTTTATTTTCCAATTTTGGGAATATATATATACTTTAAAACATTTGTTTCCCCTGACAGGTGATAGGAATGGCTGCCCTGGCTTGTGGAATGATTTCAGTAGGAAGTTGTAATGGTGATGTGACCTCTACAATCCTACAGACGATGATGGAGAGGTCAGAATCCGATCTGAAGGAGACTTACGGAAAATTCCTCGCACTGGGCCTGGCTCTTACTTATCTTGGTAAGGAATTGCTACATTTTTTTTTTCAATGTATTGAAAATATTTTTAAACATCATTTTGTAATCATTGTAACTTAGCAGCATGTAAATTGCACTTACATGTAAGTCCTAGTATAAAAGTTTTTGAGGAAAAACATGAGGCAATTTCTTTCATGAAATTTTGATATGTATGTTTTTTACTCTAAAGGGAAGCAAGATGCTGTAGATGCCACATTAGAAGCATTAAATGTGATAACAGAACCTCTCAAGTCAATGGCCAGAATGATGGTTGATGTCTGTGCATATGCAGGTAACTTATATCCTTTGTATAGAAAAAATTAACTAATTTAGCACTGTTCTGAAAGCTCACATGAAAGATCTTGTGTTTGATGTATTTGTCTGTGATATTTCAGGTACTGGTAATGTGTTAAAAGTCCAGCATTTGTTACATGTGTGTTCAGAACATGATGACTCTAAAGATCAGGTACATATATTTTTTTCATGTTGAAATGTACAAAATCACAGAGTAGTGAAATTGGCAAGAAAAAAATTGGTGAATCTGCCAAAATGAGCATGTTTCTTTTTCTAAAGCATTTGTAATGGCCTAATACTTTTGTTTTTAGTTGACAGCTAAATTGTAAAAGCCATGTGATCTTTAATATTTTAATTTGCTTCTAAATCTCTGGTTCTGTGCCATTTATATTGATATTTTTTCTCTCCACAGGAGAACAATGAAAAGAAGGATGACAAGAAAAAAGATAAAGACAAGAAAGAGGAGACACCAAATGCTGACTTGTCCCTACAGCAGGGTAGGGGCTAATTAATGGGATGTTCAAATTTCTATGTATTGCACTGAACAAATTGGGGTCAAAATTAGATATTAAATAACAAGTTTTGTGATATAATTTCCTTCTGTTGCATACCATAATCATAGAAATGTTTACAATCCAGGTATTGCTGTACTAGGGATAGCACTCATCTCTATGGGAGAGGAAGTTGGAGCAGAAATGTCTTTCAGAACTTTTGGGCATTTGGTAAAATTTTATTGATTATAAATAATTTGCAGTGTAATTCATTAATTAAAAATAAAAATTATTTTCTTATGGATATTATTATATCCACTGGGGTGTAAGTTTCATGCATCCATCTTTCTTGGTGCAAACAGTTTTCTGATTCAGTAATAGTGACTTATGTATATTCTTAATCTATGTAGCTACGTTATGGAGAGCCAGCCATCAAGAGAGCAGTCCCCCTAGCTCTAGGTCTGATATCAGTATCCAACCCTAAATTACAAATTCTGGACACCCTCAGCAAGTTCTCCCACGACAGTGACCCAGAAGTCTCCCATAATGCTATCTTAGCAATGGGAATAGCTGGAGCAGGTCTGTTTACAAAGATTATGTTTTGTCTTTTTTCATCTTAAACAGAAATTTACTATTAATTATGGAAATTTAAAATGACTATTTTGTATGTATCACTTATTGTCAAGTAACCTGATTTACATAAGTGTAAAAAATAAAATTTACCAAAATTTACAATCTTTAAAAAAAATCTAGTTTGTTTGTCCGTATTAAGTTCAATCTCCTGTTTCCAGGAACAAATAATGCCAGACTGGCAGCTATGCTACGTCAGCTTGCTGTCTACCATTCAAAGGATCCTAACAACCTGTTTATGGTGCGCCTGGCCCAGGGGCTGACCCACTTAGGGAAGGGTACCCTGACCCTCTGTCCGTTCCACAGTGACAAGGCATTAATGTCCCCAGTGGCAGTAGCTGGACTGATGGCCGTCCTAACAGCTTCTCTAGATGTCAAAACATGTATGTGATTGTTTCTTTTCATGTTTGGTCTTAAATTAAACATTGTTCCTAAATATGAGCATTGTAGATGTTAGAATTGGCTTAGAGTTTGAAGTGTTAATTCAAAGAAAATCGGATGATTTTTGGAAGATATAAATACCTGGTATTGTAATATTATTCTAGCTTCATGTACTTTTTCAGTAATTCTTGGAAAATCCCACTACATTTTATATCATCTTGTATCTGCAATGCAACCAAGGATGCTGACCACATTTGATGAAGAACTGAGACCTCTTCCTGTTCATGTTAGAGTTGGTCAGGTAAGATTCAATTGACATATATTTGTATAAATTCTGTGCTGCTGATAAATATCTTACCAAAAATTAAATATCTGTATAGGCTCTTAAAGCAAGCTTCAACCATAATATTGATGAGGTAAAACCCAATATAGTTTATGTTGTTTGGGGTATTAAATGTGCACAACGGTTTTCATTTGCAAGTTTTTAACTGGATAAGATTCATTGCAGGCAGTGGATGTGGTTGGACAAGCTGGTAAACCTAAAACAATAACAGGATTCCAGACCCACACTACCCCTGTGTTGCTGGCTTATGGAGAGAGGGCTGAACTGGCCACAGAAGAATGTATCCTTTCACAAAATCACAATTTTTACTTCTTAAAAGTTACTTTATAAGTATAAATTTATTCTTAATTTCATTATAGAAGTTAGAAAAAATGCCTTGTTGAGGGTGCTAGAATTGTTTTCTTATACACTGTGTACTGTATATCACATTTTCTATGAAGTAGTTAACATGAAGTTGAATTCATTTCCTTACCACATTTTTTTATGCCCCGCCATGAATATGGACGGGGCATATAGTGTTTGTCATGTCCGTCTTCCGTCCTTCTGTCCTTCCGTCACACTTTGCGTTTAGCTCTGTTCAAAGCTAAGTTTCAAAAAACTATCCAAGATATTTTCATCAAACTTTATATGCTGAGAGATATTGATGAGAGCTATGCAACTGCATCAACATTTTTTGACCTTGACCTTTCCTTTGACCTTGACCTCACTTTTCCTAAATCAGTGTCAAACTTCATATGCTGATACATACTGATGTAAGCAATTCAACTGCATCAACAATTTTACCTTGACCTATTATTTGACCTTGACTTCACTTTAATCAAATTGTGTTTAAGTCAATTTTAATTAAAGGCATCATTTCTAGATATTTTTATCAAACTTCATATGTTGATACATATTGATGAGAGATATGCAACTACATCAACATGTTTGACCTTGACCTTACTTTTCCTAAATCAGTGTCAAACTTCATATGCTGATACATACTAATGTAATCAAATCAACTGCATCAACAATTTTGACCTTGACCTTTTATTTGACCTTGACCTCATTTTTATCAAATTGTGTTTAAGTCAGTTTTAATTAATTCATTTCTAGATGTTTTTATCAAACTTCATATGTTGAGACCTATTGATGAGAGATATGTAACTGCATCAACGTTTTTGACCTTGACCTTTCCTTTGACTTTGACCTCACTTTTATCCATTTGTGTTTAAGTCAGTTTTAAAGAAACCATTTTTAATATTTTTTCAACTTCAAATGCTGATACTTACTGATGAGAGCTTTTCAACTGAATCAACAGTTTTTGACCTTGGCATTTCCTTTGACCTTGACCTTACTTTAATGAAATTAGTGTCAAACTTCATATGCTGATACATACTAACTGCATCATTATTCAAGATATTCTGATCAAATTTTATACATGTACAAATTTTCATGTTGCTTTACTAATATACCCTCAGTGGGACATTCATGTCCTATGGACATATTTTTAGTCTTATGCTGACATGTTCCTTGTTTCATGAGAAATGGATAAAACTTTCACTGCCTCACAAATCTCTTTAGCTAGCCTGCCAATGCATGTATATAAGCGATCAATTGAATGATGGATCCTTAACTATTTATCAGATATACCTTTAAGCCCCATCATGGAAGGATTTGTGATACTGAGGAAGAACCCTGACTATGAAGCTTAAAGCTGTCCGTGTTAAATATTGTCAACATGAACTCTTGTGAAAAAAGATTCTGTATCATTTATGAATTTACTGGAAAAAAAAAAGAAACAAAAATAAAAATCAACAAACACTTTAATTTTTTTAACTTTATATTTATATTTATGTGACCAGTGCCAATATATGTTGTTTAGCATTCCTATTTCCTGGACAACCTACATCCTGGAAATTTTCTTGAGGTGTAAAAATGAATTACCTCACTTGAAGCAAATTAAACGGGAATTGTAAAAGTTCAAAACTAGAGGTACTGTGAGCAGTGAGCTCACTAAATGATACCCCCACCTCCCATATGAATATAATGGCAGTGTCCATGTTTTGCTCTGGAAAATCCAAAATATAAGTCAGATCAAAAAGTAAAATAGGAGGTGCACAATGGCAATATGTAATAAAGATTCTGTGAAAGTTTCATTAAATTTCCTTCAGTGGTATGAGAGGAGTTGCAGATAAGAGATGGGTACCCCAAAGCATAACAGATGGACGGACATACTGATTACGATATACCCTCCCGCTTTTCAAGCGGGGGGTATAATAATAATATTGCAAGGTCAAGGTGTATAATGTTCAATTTATGAAGAATGTTAGAAATTTAAATGCATGGTCAGACCTTGTTATCTGCAACAAAATGGGGCAAGGAAAAATATGGAAGCACATGGACAAAATTGCTCACCTGAGCCAGTGATATCCTCCTGATCATCATCTGGAGATGAGCCCCACTATCTAAGATTCAGGGGCATATAGTTTTTGCACTGTCTTACTGTTTGCTTTCCTTTACCAACTTTTATCTTGCTACACATGTAATATCTTTTCACTGGTTAGAGCTATGGTGTACATATTTCACATGTATTCCTTGTGATAAGACCTTTCCTTTGGGTACCAACATATTAGACCTTTGGACTTTGATCTAGGAGATTGATCTACTTTTGCAAAGTTTTACCAATTTTTAATTTTTGAATGGATAGTGTTAGGGCTTCATACTTGACATGTATATTTCCTGTGATAAGTATTTTTGACCTTGACTTTGATCTACATGTATTTTTGAAAAACTTTACCTTTGCCATAACTTTGAAGATTTTAATACTGAGTTAGTGTTAGGACTGTCATATTTAACACATAATATATTTCTTGTGACAAGACTATCCCTTTGGAACTCACCATTTTAACACTTTTATTTTGAGGTTTAACCTTCTTTTAAAAAAAACCTTTGACCTTTGCCATAACTTTTAAACAGTTAGTCCAGGGCCTTCATATTTCACATATATCTATGAATTATTTGTGACAAAACCAACAATTTTGGCCTGAACTTGACCTTTTGGGGAAAATGAACCATGGCCATAACATTTGAACAGTTAGTGGTAGGGCTTATATATTTCACAAGTGTATTCCTTGTGATAAGATGATCTGAGTTCCACCAGTTTTGACCTTAAATACCAAGAATTCCAACACTTAGAGCTTAACCTTGGAGTCTAAAATTCAACCTTTGTCCCAACTTTTGAACAGTTATTGCTAGTCTTTCATATTACATGTGTAATCCTTGTTACAAGACTTCTTGTGTTTCAACAATTTTTATCCTTCAACCTTTTCTTGGAGAATTGCATTTGAGAAAATCTTCACAAAGAGCTCCAATACTGGGCATCAGTGTTCCAGAAAACATTCTGTTTTTCTATGTATTCCTTTTTAGCTCACCTGATCCGAAGGCTCAAGTGAGCTTTTCTGATCACATTTTGTCCGTCATCCGTCCGTCTGTCTGTAAACTTTTCACATTTTCGACTTCTTAAGAACCAATGGGCCAATTTTAACCAAACTTGGTACAAAGCATCCTTGGGTAAAGGGGAGTTTAAGTTGCTAAAATGAAGGGCCAAGTCCCCTTACAAGGGAAGATAATCAAGAAAAGACAAAAATAGGGTGGGGTCACTAAAAAATCTTCTTCTCAAGAACCACTGGGCCAGGAAAGCTGAAACTCATGTGGAAGCATCCTTGGGTAGCGTAGATACTAAATTGTTAAAATCATGACCTCCAGGGGTAGGGCGAGGCCACAATAGGGAATCCAAATTTTACATAGAAATATATAGAACAAATCTTTAAAAATCTTCTTCTCAAGAACCACTGGGCCAGGAAAGCTGAAACTTATGTGGAAGCATCCTTGGGTAGTGTAGATATTAAATTGTTAAAATCATGACCCCCAGGGGTAGGGTGGGGCCATAATAGGGAATCCAAGTTTTACATAGAAATATATAGAACAAATCTTTAAAAATCTTCTTCTCAAAAACCACTGAGCCAGGAAAGCTGAAACTTACGTGGAAGCATCTTTGGGTAGTGTAGATATTAAATTGTTAAAATCATTACCCCCGGGGGTAGAGCGGGGCCACAATAGGGAATCCATGTTTTACATAGAAATATATAGAACAAATCTTTAAAAATCTTCTTCTCAAGAACCACTGGGTATGTGGAAGCATTCTTGGGTAGTGTAGATATAAAATTGTTAAAATCATGACCCCCGGGGGTAGGGTGGGGCCACAATAGGGAATCCAAGTTTTACATAGAAATATATAGAACAAATCTTTAAACATCTTCTTCTCAAGAACCACTGGGTCAGGAAAGCTGAAACTTATGTGAAAGCATTATTGGGTAGTGTAGATATAAAATTGTTAAAATCATAACCCCCGGGGGGTAGGGTGGGGCCACAATAGGGAATCCAAGTTTTATATAGAAATATATAGAACAAATCTTTAAAAATCTTCTTCTCAAGAACCACTGGGCCAGGAAATCTGAAACTTATGTGGAAGCATCTTTGGGTAGTGTAGATATTAAATTTTAAAATCATGACCCCCGGGGGTAGAGTGGGGCCACAATAGGGAATCCATGTTTTACATAGAAATATGTAGAACAAATCTTTAAAAATCTTCTTCTCAAGAGCTTCTGGGCCAGGAAAACTGAAACTTATATGGAAGCATCCTTGGGTAGTGTAGATTCTAAAGTTTTAAAATCATAAAAGGGAAGGGGGTAGTGGGGCATGATAGGTATACAAAGAGGGGGAATCGGGAAAAGAACTGTATCACTCAATTTACTCAGGTGAGTGATGTGGCCCATGGGCCTCTTGTTCCCTATGATTTTTTGTGACACGCCCTACTCCCACTTGTCAAGATTTGAACAAACTTGAATCTAAATTGTGATGCTTCAATATCAACAAACTTAATCATGGCTTTGGGTAACTGTTCATTTGAAATTCAGAAGCAACAACTTTGTATGGATTAAGTGAATAATGTATTCTTTGAATTTCCATTATCCAACTTGCTTGAAGACTGATAATTAAGACCAAAACAACTACCACTGGTAATTCTACATTTCTTTATTACAAGTACATGTATACTGTTTTTAGATCATATGATTGAAACAGTATGTTTTTTTCCTAGATTGTCACCACAAGTAAAAGAATCTTTGATTATTCTGTGAATGGTTTCTATCTGAATATACACATTGTTACATCAGTCTTTTTAATATTTCAGCAAGAGGTAAATTGGATTTCTTTTTAAGAAACTATAGAATGGACGGAATGATTGAGATTCTATATATGAAAACAGTTTGATTATTACTTAACAAAATCTATATATTTCATGGAATGTCTAAAACTTGGAACAATAATGCTAAAAAAGACTCCTCTAACTTGAACTTGTAAACATTTTAAAAATATATAATATATCTTATGTACATTTAAAACTTTCATAAAAATAAATGTTGTAAATTATATATAATCTATCACAGACAACTCATACAAGTTAGTATTTTAGGCAAGTTTTGTAGAAATACAACTCTCCATTTCTTTATATAAATACAATTGTATATGTAAATAAGGATGAATAATTGTGATTCTTTCAAAAATCTTTCCAGTTCTTTTCCTGGTATATTTATGTGTACAAGACAGATATAACAACATGCCAAAATATTTTTCACATATGTAGAAATTAGGTGACAATATTTTTCAATAAAAACCTTCGATAGATTTACACAAACTTAATGAGATTTGAATGCTACATCTACAAAATTTACTTCTACCCGAATCCAATTCTTTTGTTTTTTAATAAAAATTCTCTACCATCTAAAACAGTTATTTCTCAACCCATAACAAAACAGAAAAATTTCAATTAAAAATACTTTTCATTAAATTAACCCTGTCTCCTTCAAATGATGACTTGATCATTAGATGCATTTTCATATTATTTTTAATTGAACAAGCACGTTCTAGCATTCCTGCCTATGATTATCATATGATCAAATTGATTTATGTTTAAA